TCTTCTCTGGCCAAATGCCAGAGAATCGAGGCTCCCCCTTGCTCCAGTGGTCCGTCCAGCCGAGAGACCTGATGGCACAAGTGAAACTAGCCAGGTCAAGCACAGGAGATCAGGCATTTGAAATGATGAATGAAGAGGGGTCGGAAGACCAACTATGAACATGAGTCAAATGAGAACTGATTTTTAAATTAAAAGACACTCCTTACCCAAAGCAGCGAAACGGCAGAAGCGAGTGGTGGGAGGGACGCCTCCCATGCCCATAAATCATTGAGCGAAAGGGGAGGGAGTGGAAGAATAAACAAGAAATTGCCCAGAAGTACTCATCCATCGAGCTATACAGATAAGTGCATATTCAGAGACTTTAAAAATTATTGCAAAATTGCAAAAGCAAGCAAACGAGAAAAAGATGGCGGGGAAGAGGGACAGAGTCAAAGAGAAACTTAAGCGAAACTAGAGTCCCAGGAAACGACCAGTGAGACGATGAAGGCAATGACAGAGGTCATGCGCCCTCTGCTGGAACAGCTCAATGTCTTTAAAGAACAGATGTCTGTTGTAACAGCGAATATTACTGCACAACAAAAGCAGCTGCAAGTTGTGACAACAAGCATTACTGCTCAACAAACGCAAATAACGGATTTGATTCAAGTAATGAAGCAGGATGCTGAGAAAGTAAAGGAAATGGCTGAGACAACGCAGATAGTGAGGAAAAAAGTGCAAAAATTGGAAAAGAAAACTGTATCTTTGGAAGATCAGATGCTGCAAGTGCAAATGGATAAGGCTAATATGGTCCTGCGCTTCCAAGGGGTGCCAGAGAAAAGAGGAGAGAATCTTAAAGAACATATGAGTGAGCTACTTGCCCCAGTAGCAGATATAAAGGCGGACTTGCTACTCAACGACATGGATGTGGCCTACAGGTCATATTCAGGATACATAAAGAAAAATAATCTGCCTGGGGAAATTGTAGTAAGATTCTCGAAGAGGCACGTCAGGGATGCTATCCTGAAAGCAGTTGCTGCAACACCCCTGAAGGTGGGGGAGAATGCTGTCAGAACGCTAAAGGATATTCCATTTGAAGTAAGACAACGCAGAAAGAAATACAAAGAACTTGTGTTTTTCCTCCAAACAAACTCAATTGGATATAAATGGCTGTTTCCAGAAGGAGTAATATTCAAGATCAAGGAGAAGAAGGTCAAGATTGACTTTGTTCTTAAAGCTCAAGAGTTTCTAAAGGAGCACCTGGGAAGGCCAGAGGACGAGAAAAAAGAAGAGGACGATAAGTCCAGTGGAGAGCTGGAAACTGGTTCGTCTGGTGAGGACTCTTTGTCTGAGCAGGGGGCATCAGCCCCAAAAAGTTCCTAAAAACTGCGGAAGAGAGAAGAAGAAGTAAAGGCTGAAGGACTCTGAATTGTGCCTTTGAGAACTTTGGTTCTAGGGGATGATGGGGGGCACTGTTATTGGGCAATTAAATGTAACTGGGGATGGTTAAAAGGGTTAAAAGAGTGACACAGTTCATAAGAAGTACAAAGATGAAAAGTCTGAATGAAGTATAAAAAGCTACTTGGAGATCTCCTCTCTTGGGTTTTTAGTTAGTAGTGGACTCTTTACTTTCTCCCTTATATGTAGCTTTCCCTTTCCCTTTTTTCTGTTCTAGTTTTTGTAGTGTTTAAAAAATCAATAAAAAATCCCCTCCGGGGGCTTTAAAAAAAAAGAAAAAGAAAATGTGAACATTTCAGATGTAGTCTACTATACATGAACTGCCTTTTCAAGAAAAAAACAGCTTTCCATATTGTGGGTTAATCACTATGTGCACTACTGCAATTCATACTAATCCATTTTCTGTGTGTTTGAAAATATCATGTGCACTTGTTTTCAGAACTTACCTGCTGAGGATATAATTCCATCTTTGAGCATGTGCATCTCTATTAAATCCAGCACATACTATGCTCAAAAGTTGGTCCTGATGGGCAGACATGTCTGATAATGAAAAATGGGGTCCATGGAGTTTTACCAGGCAGGCATTTGTTCACCCAAATACAATCTGAATCCACATATCTGAAATTATACTTTTTCTGATACAGAATGAAGAAGAAATGTGAAAGGGTATGTATCCTTTCTTCATTAGTGTTCCTGAAGAAAGTGTTTTCTTTTCATGGCACCTTAAAATTTTACATACCCATGGGTCACTTGGTGCAAGCAATATTTAAATTTCAGATGTTCAAAATAAAGTTTGAAAGGGTTTCTGCTAAGAGTACACTTTTTTAAACAGTATGCATGCATGCCCAAAAGCTTCATTTCTTGCTGAACAAATTAAACAAAGAAAAATATTAATTAAAAAAGGTTAATGAGAACAATACATTGGACAATAAAGCACTATTAAATTCCACTGATTGCAGCAGAAAAAAGCTTAAACTACCTGATTTCAGATCAATCAGTGATACGAAAAATGCTTCACTTTGGCTAAAGAGAACCCACAAATTTTTGCTTACAAGCAGCAATGTTTGTTAATGATACAGGGTAAACTCTCTGTACAATAAATGTGAAATTCCTTTCAAAATTATGCTAAATTTAATCATTTTAATCTCGGGGGCAAAATCCCAAGGTTTCATTCAAACAAGAAAGTATTAATAAAAACAGTCAGGAGCAAAAATAATAAATAAATAAATTACATTTCTGTATGAGATGAACAACATTTGACAAGAGCATTGCAATATCACTTCGAATATGTCTAAAATAAAGTGAACATAGCACTTGACTTCTGTCATGGAAGTTAATATTCTGATGGCCAAAAGTGACTTGGTTGTTTATTTCACAGTGTCAATTTCTAGAGTTGTAATTCATCTTGACAAAAATACATATGTACTTCAGGACCTTTACCCAAATAAAATAGTAAAACTCTCATTTATCAGGAGGCTTCCCTGCCAACAAAAGGAGGGAAAAATAATTCCCAGTTACTCTGCTAAATTTATATCTTCCTTGTAGCGGACTTAATGGGCAGCTGTGAAAGACCAAATAAAAACTGACAGGCTCTTCCATGATGTGCTGCCTCAGTAGACATTAGAATGGAATCTCAGCCTATCTGCAAAAGAAGAGGCAAGAACTCACTTCACAAAAGACTTCATCACTGCAAGAGTAAAGTATTACTCAGTGGCATTACATTGTTAATAAAATTTCTTTATCTGAAACTATAATTTAATATCCATGTATCTAATTTACATGTGACAAAGTAGCATATTCTAAAATTAGAGCATAACCAGCAAACTATCAACTACCATAAACAATACTAAAGAAAAAACACAACCCCAAACTTTTCTTAGTAAAGTAAAAGACACAACTTTGAAACCGGGTTACTGCTGTTGTTGATATCAATTTAAACATAGCTGTAGATATGGCTTCGGGGGGAAAAAAACCCTGTTCAAGCACGCAAACATTTTCTGCTAAGGGAGTCTTGTGTATATACATAAAGTCCAAGGGTATATTACTAAAATTTTGCTTACTGGTTTATAGTAGATGCAGGAATTATAGTGAATACTGAAATGGGATGGGGGCAAAATATCAAAGCAATTTGTACACTGGATATCTGACTCACCTGATTTCCCCATGTAAACCATAACAAAATCTTTTATTAACTCAAATTTTTTATGCTTGACAGTGAAAGAATTGCACTTCTTATAAAGTTACAAGTGTTAGATTGCAGCTCTCCCATTTAAATATTAGTGGCCTTAATCTTATGACAGGTTGTGTCTATTATGCCGAAGTCCAGGAGCGAAGTGCATTTTAAATTTAAAAAAAAAATGGAGCAACTACATACAGAACAAACAGTGAATCTTAACAGAATCAACATGCACTAACCCTACTCTTATGCAAAATTAATTTCTCCCAGGAAACTGCAACCAACTGTTGACCTTCCATAAAGGTATAGGTTTTGTCCTTGTTAATTCGTTTGGACTTGTGTATTCAAATCCCAGTTTATTAGCTCATTGTTACAAAATGTGCTGTTCCACTGGTATGTCCTTTAGCTGTCCTTGGGCTTCTGTAGAATCTGGTCTCTTATAGTCACTCTGGTTTATGGTTTTAGTGAGCCTCAGTGTAAGGCTCCTCAGTTCTGTACAAATGTTTCCTTATTCATCTTCTTCTGGTTCCTGTGGTAAAATTGGTGCTTCCTCCTTTAAACAAGCACTAAAGAAGCTGATTATTGTGCTATAAAGATGATATTTACTCTTCTCTGATGTGATGTAATGACCTTCATCTGGATAGATCTAGATGAAGAAAGAAGTAAACAGACTTTAAAGATCAGATTATATGGCGAAAGAATTAATTTTGTCTTGGACTTTAAAAATGTTTTTGCCTCAACACAAAATGAGAGCATCAGGCAATGCTATGGGTTTATCTAAAGCTCACAAAATTAAAATCACATTTCAAACGTTGCCTTTTAAACCAGCATCGTGTGCATCCAAAGATTTAGCTCTAAAACACAATGTTCACATTAATGGTCTGATTATGACTTCATGATGGTTTCATAGAATTAAATATTTAGTTTCTGTCAATTATTTTTCCCCAGTTTATTTAATACATTCTACATACTTATCACTTATAATATTGGGGTGTAGCGTTTCTGTCAATTATTGATGGATATGCTTGGTTCTATCCAAACCTGGTTCACAATCTCATAATGATTGTGGATATTGTATAATTTATAAGTTGATCTTAAATTTTGCAGTGGTAGCAAGCAACTAATTAAATCAGGACTCAGCACTAGGTAGGACTACGGCTGCTAGAATTCATATTTCTAGTTTTTGTGCATGAAAAATGGGGGTTGGTACTGATACTGGAGTGCCTTAATGCAAACACCTTTTTTTAACACAGTTGTTAAACTCGCAATCAATGTCAAAAAGGGCTAATAACCATTTTGCTTATATGATCAGACAAAGCATCCCTGCTTGCCATCCTTCCTAACTTCTAATGTCCACTTCAGCAGTGATTCACAGCCTGTCACAAAATCATACCGCTAGCTGTTTCTCATAATCTCCTCTTATCTATCCAGTGAACACGGGGTTAATGGACAAATTGACATTTGAGCTAAGAGAGGAACAATTTGCTTAGCAGCAGCAAATACAGATTTAACTCATTAGCTAAACTCAGACAACAGAGGCAACCAAAGTACTGCTTGGTTTGTAAACATAAAACATGTGATTTGAGGACGTTCTGATTGAGTTCTATTATGTACAGAACCCTGGAGTGGGCCAGTAACAGCTATGGATGTTTAGAAAATGTAGGAGAGTTGTATCAGACTCAAACACTTGCTATATGTGGGTGCAGCTTACTTGAAACTTCCCTGCATATTGTCTGCAAGATATAAATGAAAAAACACACATGACAACACATCCTCTGTCCACTTCACTGAGCTTGTGCAAGACTGGGGGGGGGATGAGGGGTCTGGTTATTCCCTCTTCTTGCTACAGCTCACCATGCCACATAGCATGTTGTTCTTGAGGGTGCCCAAACCTCCAGCAGTAGCTTTTCAGAGGGACTTGAGGGGCATTGGGGAAAGAAGGCATGAAAGATCTTCCATGAATTCACTCCATTTTAACAATACTGTATTTGTGAAAAGAACAAATTTGCCAAAAAATAAATAAATCTATTTTTGAGATGAATTCAAAGGTCTTTTCCCACTACCAGCAGTATTATTTCCTTTGCACCCTGGAGGAGCATTTCAGGGAGTTCATTGGGCTGCAGTGAGATGGAAGAAACAGAATAATTCCACTCTGGTGTAAATGCTTTCTGTCATTGGCACCACCTGTATTGGAGAGTGAATTCAGGTTTTGATTGATTGAATAAATAATCTAGCTGAAGATTTATTTATTTATTAAATTTCTACCCCGCCCTCCCGCCAAAGTGGCTCAGGGCGGCTTACAAACCATTTAAAACCAACATACAGTTAAAACCAACAATTACACATATAAATACAATACCATACATCCTGTGATAAAGTGCTAGTGCGACACCACTGGCATAGTCAGTTCTTATTGAAACGCTTGGTGGAATAGCTCCGTTTTAACTGCTGGAGGTCCCGTACAGCTCTGATCTCCTGAGGGAGCTCGTTCCACAGCGTTGGCGCCACCAGGGAGAACACCCTGGTTCTAGTTACCACTAACCTAGCGTCCCTAGGCCTTGGGGGGGCCAGACGGTTTTGCGTTCCCGCGTTGGGGGAACATAT